CCGCGCACCCGCCCCCACGTGTACCTCTTTCGCCCTCACAATGAAGAGTTGAAATCTCGTGACCCAAATGTGTCCATGACCTGCCTGGTCAAAGGGTTCAATCCTCCGGAAATCTCCATCAAGTGGCTCGAGAATCACAACGTTGTGACGGAAGACACCCATGTGACCACCCCGATCCAGCTGGACAGCAGTCGGGATTCCTATTATGTCTATAGCAAGCTGACAGTCCCCAAGGCTAGCTGGAATGACGGCAATTCTTTCACCTGCCATGTTGTCCATGAGGGGCTCGACATGAAGTACACCCAGAGGACCATTGAGAGAGTTCTGGGTAAAAAATGAAGACAACTCCATCCCAACATTGTTACCCTCCCCCTCCCGTCCCAATTCACTTAATTGTCTCTAGCATTGTCAGATTTAACCCTGTGTAAATAATTTCCATGCATTCATTCGTGCTTAACGGCCAAATAAAAGAGAACTCACCCAAAGGTTCATTCACAGATATTCTTTGTTATGATCTCTTCCTGGGACATCAGTGATTTGGGTGGAGTGGGTGGACAGATTCTAGAACAGAGCTGGATCAGGATAGATTTCTCAACAGTGAACCGTTGGTGTCGGGAGCGAAATGTCTTTTTCACAGTCAAATGGGTATCCCATTTTTCAACCAAGGACCTTAAAGTAGGTGAAGTTATCCCGTTTAACTCCACAACAACCGTGCGAAGTAATTTGGGAGAAAGAGTGATTTGTCTCAAGCCACCCAATGAGCTTCATGGCCGAGTAGTGATTTGAACGTGGGTCACTTCGTACAACCCTGTGCCCAATATTCCACACTGACTTCTCTCACCACACAGTGAAACGCTCTCCATTTTATTTCAGGGCATGAATGCAGGAGACTTGTGATATTAAGAAGAGGTATTTATTTGTAATTAGTTTACAAGTCTCACCTCAGAGCTTCCACTGTGGCTCCAACTCCCTCTCCACTCCCTCACCAAACACCTCTCTTGACCAACCGCCACTGGGCCATTAAATATTTAAACCAGCCAATCAGGGCACAGCTGCAGTATTCTATCCCGCAAAAGTTGAATATATATAATATAAAGATATAAAACACAATTTAAAAAAACAGGTTCCTGACATGCCTGATCTCAAATGAATTCACAATATGGTTGTGGAAGCAAAATATAAGTGGTTTCGGGTTACTAAAATAAGCCAGTGATGTCATATACACCATGGGATAAATCCAGAGCCGGTTGACATAACTGCTGAGGGAAATAACTAAATGCATTAATGTCACACATTCTGAAATATATAATAATGTCATATTAAATAACTTTGTCTAATTAACATCAGGACACACCTACATGCATAATATCCTGTCAATAGCAGAAAGATGGAGGGGAAACTCCCTCTTTTCGTGTTTTCATTCTCCACAAAGTCTCTAAATATTGATCTTTAAATACAAAAGATTGGGAGCTGCCTCATGATGAGTCACATCAATAGGCCAGCCTGCTCAGTGCTACCCACTGACCACAGTGGGTCTTTACCGTGATCTTATAGATGACTTTAAACAGGGGATAAGACAAATAGGTCTATAAGCATCACTGCCAGCCACACGGAGTTTCCGTGTTCAGGCACAGAACTTCTTAATCAGTTGGTGAAGGACAAAAAAGAGGGGGAAGGCTGATGAACCTGTGCCCTGGTTATGGGCTTCCCTGAAACATCTGGAGGACTGTAGCTTTTCTGGAAAGATGGTGTCTTGGTATGATCCACCAGGACATATCTTCCAATCTCAGACAGAGGTCTTTCCCAACCAGACTTCCTGAGACCATTTTAATTGGACGGACCCACAAATAGAACATGGAGAGGCAGATCTTATAAATTGAGGAATGCCTTCCAAGTTGTTATTACTAGTCTTCTTCTGCAGCAGTATTTGTGAACCTGTCTGAACAAGAAAGAGACAAATAAATTCCACTCACTGTTTCTTCTGTGATACTGACAATGCAATCCTATGCAGAGTTACTCCAGCATAAGCCCATTGAAACTCATCCATTTAGACTAGAGTAACTCTTTGTAGGACTGCACTGTAAGTTTCTTGGGTGGAATTTGGTGCATTTGTATTGATTGACGGTTTGAAGCTGACGTCTGTATGTACTGAAGCTCACTGTGGAGTTCAGTTTTGAAAAGCGTGTATCCAGTATTAATTTGATCACACTGGGAATAAATGTATGTCAGTCAATGAACATATGTCCATCAACAGAGGAGACAGTGGCCGAAATGGATGGTAGATCAACATCCCGTTGAATTTGGACTCCCGGCCACAAGTGAACTTGATGATGTACCATTTGTCTTCGTCAGGACAGACTTTAAAGATCATGTTCCGTTTTTAAAAAGCTGACTATGTTGCCATCTTGGCATTTTGTTCCATGTGCATTTTAATTTTCAGATAGCAATGATTCTCACTGTCGTTAAAAGTCTTTGATATAGCTGGCATGCTGCACCAAATGTGTTGTTTTCTGTATCCCACAAGACTCTTTGTTGGTTTTGGTCCATTTTCAGTCACTTTCTATTCACTGAATGCTCACTTCTCTCTCTCTCTAGCCTTTCCTAGCTGATGGCTGGTGTGACACTATCAACAACCGAGCCTATTGTCGGTACGATGGGGGTGATTGCTGCTCCTCCACAGTTTCCTCCAGGAAGGTAGGTGAGGTGATAACTAAGCACACTATTTCACAGCAGCTTTACATTTAAGGGCAGGATCTCCTGGGTTCAGGTTCGGATCTTCTTCACTTCAGATTACATTCTTGTCAAGTACCAAATGTGGAGAGAAGTTTACTATCACACCCTGTTTGTAGGTTTCTAGACACATTTTGGTTGGTCAGGATTGGGAATATACTAGTGGATGAAATAGACCAGTGATGGCGAACCTTTTAGAGACCGAGTGCCCAAACTGCGACCCAAAACCCACTTATTTATCGCAAAGTGCCAACACAGCAATTTAACCTGAATACTGAGGTTTTACTTTAGAAAAAACAACTCATACATTAACTTAAGATGATCCAAACAAAGTAAGGAACGCAATCCCAAATGCTTTCATTTACTTGAAATTATTTGGCAGAGAATTCCACACTTTAATGAAGGTCTAGGCCTGGCTGGGGCGATGGCACGCGTGCCCACAGAGAGGGCTCTGAGTGCCACCTCTGGCACCCGTGCCATAGGTTGGCCACCACTGCCCTACAGGGTTGCCGTAGGACAACCGCGACTTGACAGCACTTTCCCCCACCAAGGATACCTAGCACAGAATTATGGTTCACGACTGACCTTGCGAGATTAGATTCTCCCTCTGAAATACACATTGGTAAACATTCATAAGAAAAACATGTCCTGGTTATGCTTTGCCTCTTGACAAAGTTCCTCTCTAACATGCAGCAGACAGAGGATAATGGTGGAACCAGTCACTGAATGAGAGATAACTAGCTGGGACAAACAGTCAATAATGGGTGCTGAGTGGACTGAACACTTCATGCAGAGTGGAAGACGTGTCCACATTCAAGCCCAGGCCTAGAAATATCTGAGGCATACACCATCTTAACACTGGCCCATAAAAATAAACATGAAAATTTGAAGATGGCAACAATAAAGGCTACATTCCAGGCTCCTAAGGATTTAATTAGGGGTATTTTCCCTGCCCTGCCTTTACGAAGACAGATTCAAATTAGAAAAAGGGTGCTGGAGAAAAACTCTTAGGGATAACGGTGAGCATAAAAAGAAAGCATGAAGCGTACATGATAAAATCACATCTTAAAACCATTAAAATCAACCCCCTCAAAACACACATCATTAAAACAACTGAAAAACAATACATACAAAACATAAAAAACAGCAATTAAAACTTTGGTTAGGAAGAAGGAATCACGGAGGGAATGCCAAATGAAACATGCCGGAAGACGGCAACAGAAGGGGAGAGATGACTCTCCCTGGGAAGAGAATTGCAGAGCTTGGTGCCATCCCCAAGAAGGCCCTCTCCCAAGTTAGCGCTAGGTTTGGAGTCTACAGGCCCACATGCTTCCCTGCTTAGTCATGAAACTCAATGGACGGCCTTTCTTCATAAATCACTTCCTCATGAAGGCTGAATGAAGTCATTAAGACCAGTCGCTCAAGTACCACAACGGTTCCATGGGGTTATTTCCGGTTCTTTTCAAGTCCATATTGACACAGCTTGCCTTGGCCACATGGTAGGTTAGTCATGCAACTGTTTTCAACGCATCTATAGACTGCAACTCATAAGGTCCTCAGTAGTGTTCCAAATGTGACATGGGGAGCCATAGTCTGGAAATAAGTTGAAACAGGTTACACAACAGGATTGTCACATAAGAATTTAACCTAGAAGGACTGTGTGATACAGTGCTGGGATATGGTGGTACGAGAAACAGAGTTTTCTCAGAGTGAAGTTATTCTGTAGGACCGGGCCACCAGTTACAAAAAGGATAAAAAGACAATGGGTCAGATCCAACCAACATTTTTGCTCATTCTTGTTCAGTTCCCCTTCTTATTCATGCACTCATCCTACTTTTTTTTTTTTTGTACATACAAGTCTCGTGATAACCCAACATGGCTTTGTGGGTTCTCTTTTCTTTTTCACCAATAGAAAAGCTGGTTGGATCCAACCTAAGGTTCCCCAAACCACTATTACAAAATGTAGGTGACAATGTTTGATGTTACAGAGATCTCTCAGGTATCTTATTCACTTGCAAAGATTTTGCATCATGGGTTTTGTGCTCTATACCAGTCTAAATAAAGAAGCAACAATAAGACAGAATCCATAATGCAGCATGACTGCGAGTGAAGTGTGCATGAGTAAGATCATCTAGCACCTTCATAACATTAAAGAAGAGAAAGCAGCGGGAACAGAATCTGTTGGGCCAGGAAAAGTTTGCATGACAATTTCATGGTAGAATTTTCCTCAAGTTATTATAGATCCCTTCATATGGATATAATCAGGATGCATAGACAGGGAGGTTCAAAATGTTATAAGACTGGTGGAAGTTGATAATATGTATTAATGAAAGTTTAGAATTTTGTTTGGGGCAAACTGTGTAGCCATTCCACTCTGTAAACTGATCTCTCTTTCATCCATCACAGAATTTTTTGTTACAACTGATGATCATGCTGACGAGAAAGAGGAAGAACTGGACAGCCTGTGGACCACCATTTTGGTTTTCTTCATTCTCTTCCTCCTCAGCGTCTGCTACAGCGCCACCGTGACACTGTTCAAAGTAAGTGATAGGGAAGTTACAGATCTGCCACTCGATGGGGGGGAAGGGGGAGAAAGCAAAGAGATAAATGCAGAACATTTTGTGCTGCGGTTGTAAATTGATATGTGGTTTACCTGAGAGGATCTTGTTCGGAGTTCTTGCTGGCCTTGAGTGCTGATGTGCTAGCCCCAGCTCTGTTGCATTTGGGTTCCCCTTGTTGCCTCCTGAGATGCCTTGAGTGTAAGAAGGTAAGGTGGGATATAAAGCCAGTTTGGTACAGTGGTCAAGTGTGCGGACTCTAATCTGGGAGAACCGGGTTTCATTCCCTACTCCTTCACATGCAGCTGCTGGATGACCTTGGGCAAGCCATAGTTCTGTCGGAGATGTTCTTGAAGAGCAGTTTCTGTCAGAGCTCTCTCAGCCCCACCTACCTCACAGGGTGTCTGTTGTGGGGAGGGGAAGGGAAAGGAGTTTGTAAGCTGCTCTGAGACTCCAAGTGAAGGGCAGGGTATAAATCCAATCTCTTCTCCTTCTTCCAAATGTTATTTAATAAATAAATGCCACAAACCCAGTTCTGGGCTGTAGCAGGACTATGCCTCCCCACTCCACTTTGCTCTATAGTTCTTTTACGTGTTTATGTATTTATCTATGCCACCTTTGATTGTGTCCGCCTCCCTGGTATCAAAATTCCAAAAGTTCTAGTAAGTGCAGAAAAATTAGGGACCCCTGCCCTAGCCTGAAGAGAAGCAAAAAGTAGGCCATTTCCTTCCCTTAGGCCGATGGAGGGTTTGTCTCTGCCCTCAGTCAACCAGGGTTCGACCTCCCACGCTCCACCCTCTATCTTTCCATTTTAAGGGGGTTTTCTCTGTTCGGGGAAGTGTGTATTTTTATGCCTGCCTGGGACTTCCCCCAGGTATGTAGAACACCTTCATCCTTGGGCACAGGGACGTATCTCAACAATTACAAGGGTTTCTTTCCATTAAAAAGGTCTGCTAAAAATAAGAACCATGAGATGAAGAGAGACAAAGAGATCTCAGACCAATTTCCCATGGCCACTGCTCTGCACGCGCTCCTCTCTTTACCCCGATGGTACGTGTCAATTTCCCACTCGAAGCCGCGCGGCCGCATTTTGACCCACGGCTTTGCCCGAGTTTGCCCGCTGTTTCATAATCCTCAAAAAACAGGATCACGAAACCACGGGGGGAATCGGGCGAAGCTGTGGGTCAAAATGCGGCCGCGCGGCTAAGAGTGGGAAATTGACACGTACCATCGGGGCAAAGAGAGGAGCGAGTGCAGAGCAGCGGCCGTGGGAAATCGGTCTCAGTGTTTTATTGCCTGGGCTGAGACGGGAAGGAAGGAAGGGCAGGACGACTAGAATGATATACTTGTGAGGAAGCTAGTCGGGTCCTTGCCTTCTGTATTCACCCCTGCTTTGTGTCTCCCGCCATTCTCACCACCCTCCAACAGGTCAAATGGCTTTTCTCCACTGTGCTGCACCTGAAGAACAAGCCAGCAGGCCCTGAATACAAGAATGTAATCCAGGAGATGCTATAGGCTCCTATTCCCGGGAACCCCACCCAACGGCTCCAGAAGCGGCATCAAAGAAGAAGTCATCGGCCAAGCATCCGTTTTCACTCCGGATGTCCCAAGCCTTCACCCTGCTCTCTGCTCTTTCAGCTGCCCCAATTTTTCCATAACAGATGAATATGGGTCTATTTCTACCCAGGATTGTATCACCTGGGGCAGGGAATTGTGCTGGAACTTAGAGCAGGAGTCTCCAACATGGTGCCCCTGGTTGCAATGGTACCTGCCAATGTCTTTCCTAGTGCTTGTCAAGTGTTCTTAGAAAGTGGGCAGGGCCAGGTGAGGTCTGTGCCCAGCAGGGCTTCTGATTGGCCACTGTAGATCCGGTTGCCTGAGCTGATTTTGTAAAAGTTTCTTCGTCGGCCCCTGCAACCACAGCACAAGGATCTTCACGGTGTGACTGATAGTACGCTGTGTGTTTACAAGAAAATGTTTTTAACAATACGTTCGTTTCAAAAGGCATCCTGTTAGACAGAGCTTCTGCTTGAAATGTTGAAGAGTGAGTATTGGAGTTATGCGTGACATCACTCTCTGACATTGTGTGGTTGGCTCCACCTCCTGGAGCAGCCATTTTGTAGTCGTACCCACCACCCTGTCTCAGAATTCCAAAGGTGCCCACAGGCACATAAAGGTTGGAGAGCCCTGATCTTGAGCAAGACTTAAGGCATGACACCACCAGAGGGGAAACTTTCTGGTCTCATATCCAACTGGTTCCCCACCACTACCGTCACATCTAACCAGTTCTCTGCACTGATGGAAAAGCAGCCACCTAGCTCAGCTACCTCAACTGACCTAATTCCTTCGTTCCACCACACAACCAGACCCTTTCTTTTGCACACACCACATTCTACCATGCACTGGGCTTACTCATCCAACATCTCTACCAACTCTTCCCACATACACAATTAGGCTTCCAGCCCAAGCTAAACATGGAAAATGCTGACCTCCTGTATACCCAATGTCCCCTCCCCACAATGGGTACTCAAAAACAGTGCTGTGACACTGCTGGACCTCCTGACAGCACCTGGTATTTTTGGCCACTGTGTGACAAGAGTGTTGGACTGGATGGGCCATTGGCCTGATCCAACATTGGCTTCTCTCGTGTTCTTATGTTCTTACGACCTCATTTGGCTTCCCACTGTCTTGCCTCCCCTCAGAACGATGAATGCTACTGTGAGCATTTCTGCTGGTTTTGTATATTGCTTTTTGTGTCTGTGTGTGTGAGATCATCACTTTTTTGTTGTTGTTGGACGATAATAAATATGTACAGAAACCAATTCTCCTCCTGCGTTTAATGAAGTCACTTCTTTCTGCCTTCAGAAGCTTTCAGGAACCAGTGTCAGCCATTTTGAAGGACGATTTCTGCCACTGATACTTTAGACTAGCTGCCATTTATACTTTCAGCTGCTTCCCAGAAGGACAGCCATAGGAGACCCCCTCCCTCTCTTCCCCCAAAGCCCCCTTCAGACTAGGGTTGCCAGCTCTGGGTTGGGAAATACCTGGAGATTTGGGGAGGAGTGGAGTCTGAAGAGGGTGGGGTTTGTAGAGGGGAGGGACTTCGACACGGTATACTGCCATAGAGTCCACCTTCCAAAGCAGCCATTTTCTCTAGGTGAACTGATCTCTGTCACCTGGGAATCAGCTGAAATCACAGGAGGTCTCCAGCCACCACCTGGAGGTTGGCAGCTGTACTTCAGACCCACCTTTCCCTTGAAGCCTTTCGCTTACCCTCCTCACCTCAGATGTGACTGAGAGTGAACCAGAGGCTGGAAACAAACAACAACCTTTTTTTTTCCCCAGCAAGGTAGATATTTTATCCCCATGGTTTGCACTAGAGTTGCCAGGTCTGGGTTGGAAAATACCTGGAGACTTTGGGGATGGATCCAGGAGAGGGCGGAGTTTGGGGTGGGGAGGGGAGGGGCCTCAGCAGGGTCCAAGGCCATAGAGTCCACCCTGCAAAGCAGCCATTTCCTCCAGGGCAGCTGATCTCTGTCAGCAGAGCAGTTTTAAAAGCGGGAGATCCCCAGGCCCCACCTGGAGGCTGGCAACCTCAGTTTGCAAGCTCCCCTCCACTTCTCATTGTGGGGAACACGACTGATTATAATACTGTTTTGAAAGCCCTGTTGATCAAACGCGACAGAGAATGTGTGGAACGCTGAGGCCAATGGTGCCTCCTCCTCCTCTCCTACTTTCCCTTCCTTCAGGACAATGGTCTGTGCCCCAGCCTTAGCTATGTGTAACTATCAAGGCTTTTTTGGTAGAAAAAGCCCAGCAGGAACTCATTAGCATAATAGGCCACACCCAACAGCAGAAACTCATTAGCATATTAGGCCACACCCCTGACAACACAGCTCATTAGCATATTAGGTCGCACCCCCATGTTACCAGAAGTGTGCTCATCCAGCCACACCCACCTTTTGCTTCTTATTCTGTTTACCTTGTTTGTTGTCAAAACCCAGGGCCTTTTTCTGTAGCAGGAACTCCTTTGCATATTAGGCCGCACACCCCTAATGTAGCCAATCCTAATGAGTTTCTGCTGTTGGGTGTGGCCTGTTATGCTAATGAGTTCCTGCTGGGCGTGGCCAACTTGGGAGCCAGCCGGAACTCCGTTCCTGTGCGTCCCTGCCCAAAAATAGCCCTGGTAACTATGCTTGTGGTGTCAGCTATGCTGCCATGATGTTTATGGGCGAGAGTGCATCTGTTTGACCTGTGTACCAACTCCTGCCGCATTCCTTCCTCCCTGCTTATCTATGACCTTGCTAGCTGCCTGTGTAGTGTCTTCCCATCAATTACCCGTGGGATAAGTTTCGATTCCCAGCTTTGGCTTTAACGGCCTGGGGCCCCATTCTCCGGCACGCGGGAAACAGACTGATTGGCCTAGGAGTGGGGGGGGGGGGCATACGAATACCCTATATCCCATTATGCTTGTAGGAAAGTAGCCATTCCTAACAGTGACGATGTTACTGCCTCTATAGCTCTTACAATAAAGTATAACCTTATGATAAGCGTGTACTCCTTTGTTTGGCTGTGGAACCTGACATGTGGATGGGGTGCTTGGTGCTCGTTCGATGGGATGCTGCCCCAAACTAACTGTGCTCCAGAATCTCCTGTCTGGACCATCACCTCCTCCTGGCTCTCTTTCTAACTGAGCATCATTTTTTCTAGCTCTGAACACAATAGGGTCGCCAGCCTCCAGGTGGGGCCCGGGGATCTCCCGCTTTGACAACTGATCGCCTGCTGACAGAGATCAGCTCCCCTGGAGGAAATGGCTGCTTGAAGGGTGGGCTCTATGGCACTGTACCATGCTGAGGCCCCTCCCCTCCCCAAACCCCGCCCTCTCCTGGATCCACCTCCAAAGTCTCCAGGTATTTTCCGACCCAGACCTGGAAACCCTAGTGCAAACCATGGGGAGAAAATGCCCATCTTGCTGGAACAAACCTGCTACTGTTTGTTTCCAGCCTCTGGTTTAATCTCAGTTACATCTGAGGTGAGAAAGGTGAGCCAAAGGCTTCAAGGGAAAGGTAGGTCTTTCCAACCGAGACTTGGCAACCCTAGAACAGAATTGTTATCTGACTCCAGCCTTAGGCATGGGTGGGCAGATGGATCGTGGGGAAAGACACAATGCTTCTAAAATAAAAAAAGGCTACGAGGTCTACCCCTATAGCAGAACAGGGTAAGAATGTAGTGGTTCGAATGCTCGGTATCCCATCAGACCGGGGGGTAAGAGGTAACATTTTTTTCAATACAAAAATGATGTATAAAAATTGTTTGCAAGTAGAAAACTGGCAGATAAGGGAGAAAGGTATTAGCCCGGCCCCTTTTCCTGTTCTGGTCTTCTTTTTACAAGGACTTCTAAGTGTAGGGACTGTTTGAAAAGGAATCCCCCTACCTGTCCTTTGAAGTGATATGTCTGTGCCAGTTTGGGGTAGTGGTTAAGTGCGCGGACTCTAATCTGGGAGAACCGGGTTTGATTCCTCACTCCTCCACTTGCACCTGCTGGTGTGACCTTGGGTCAGTCACAAGCTCTGGCACAGCTGTCCTTGAAAAAGAGCAGTTTGTGTCAGAGTTCTCTCAGCCCCACCTACCTCCCTGGGTGTCTGTTGTGGGGAGGGGAAGGGAAAGGAGTTTGTAAGCCGCTCTGAGACTCCAAGTGAAGGGCAGGGTATAAATCCAATCTCTTCTTCTTCTTCTCTTTCCACCATTAAACCAGGCTCTGATACCGATGGGTATGGGGAAATAGAAGAGAATGGATTAGGGTTCCCATCTGCCTGGACACCAAAAAAAAAAGTCCTATCCCTTTAACAGAGGCCTGATGAGATGTTATTCACCGGCATGCCATGAAAAGCTCCAGTGGGCATTGCCACACATTCAGCCTCTGTTAAAGGGACAGGACATCTTGCTCCAGGCAGTTGGCACCCTTAAGACGGATAGAGCATAACTCACAACAGAAAGAGGGAAACCATACGAGATGCAACAGACGGCAGTTTCAGTAAGCCGATTCTCGCCGGGCATTTCCTTGCCAGTGCTCTTCGTTCCTCTCAGTTTCTAGCCTCACCAACGCACGGCTATAATTATCTCAGAACACGAGACTATGAGGGTCAGGGCAAGGCCCAGGTGCTGTGCAGGGTAAACACCCCCAAGGGAGAGGGACATTTGCATCGCAGGCCCATCCATCCAGCAAGAAGTCAATAGTGCACAAAGCAGCAAAGGATTCTGCAGCAAAGGATTCTGGGTACTCCAGTCAGTGTTTCCAATAGCGTGACTGCCCAATATGTTCCATAAAGTGATAAGCACATTTTGTCAAGGGTCTGAGATAGGGCGTGCAAGACTCCAGGTGTGACCTGGGGATCCCCCAGAACTACAGTTCATTGCCAGACTATAGAAATCAGTTCCCCTGGAGAAAAATGACTGTACGACATTGTACCCCACTGAGGTCCCTGTCCTCCCCAGGCTCCATCCCCAAATCTCCAGGAGTTTCCCAACCAGGATCTGGTGACCCTACACCCCATCCCCCACCAGAGGGGACCTGGCAACCATAGCTGGAGAATTCATGACATGTAGAGAATACTTCAGGCCT